CACGAGTCTTCATCCTAAACATGGCCTATGCCAAATGCAACTGGATATATGCACTAGTTCGCATCTTTACATATAGCAACAAATAAAACACCCTTGAACCTAACTTTCAAATGTGTCACATCAATTGCAACCGTAGGACGCGTTACATCCCTAAACCCTTAGATACAAACCACGTATGACCAGAAACAATATTTGAATCTTTATACCTCATCAGTAGCCACTGTAGTGACTATATGGAGATTTTCTCGTTCCAACATATAAAAATACAAGAGTAGTAGTTGAAATGACTCCTCCGAGGGATTGAAAACAAGCCTCTCTGCGTACTCTTTCGCTTACTAGGCCTTGCCATACAAGCATTCTAATCCCTATTGAACCCTCATCTTACCAATTATGTCCTTAGGTCTTAATGCTACTCCATTCGCTTAAAGCTTGTGTGACATAAGTTCACCAATTATCGTTACACTCGCGGTTCAAAATCGCCCTTACAAACCATCGACAGTACATGTGTATACTTTGTGAAACATCAAAACTTACCAATATTCTCCTTCAGGTAACTTCATTGCACACACACCAAACTTGCATGCCTTGTCCTTACAACCAACCTCAAAATGACTTGTACATGACCTTTTTGCTCTTATCTCGAACTGCATTTTTAGAGCCAACATGTTCAAAACTCGTTTCAACTTGGCCTTCGAGGAAAACATTCTTCCTTTGTATAAGCGATCATCAGCACATGTTAACTCCTCAGTTGCAATTGTTTAGAAGGATAACCTTTCTGCACTTGGAATTAGCCATGTACAAGATATTCATGTTTTTTTCCTTTTTTAATAACTGTCATCGAGCAATGTCTCAAGCAAACGAATCCCGTTCTCACCAACGATGGGGTTATTGTATATGTGATCATCACACTGAACATCGCCTACATCAACACCTCCAAAAGGTTTCGTTTTGCCTTCAATATTATTGTAAATTGGAATGTCACTGTCACAAAGCCAATCATCGTCTAAACTATCATCATGCCATTCATCAAGCCCATCATCTGAATTGTCATCAAATCTATCTTCAACGACAGGGAATAAATCCTCATTTCCCTCATCAGATGTAATATTATTGTTGAGTGTCGTAGTGTCACCTTCCACTGTTGTAATGTTGTCCTTTAATGTCGTTGTCTCATTTGAAAATGGCATTACACCTTCTACAGTTTCACCCGATTGTTGCATTTGTTGGACAGAAGCAAGTAATTAGTTCGATGCATATCTTATCAAAATTGTATAGTCAACTTTTCTATGAATACTGTGTATCTACCGGGCTACGCAAACTCTTATACATACGTCAATTGCCATTGTTGTGAGTTATAGATGGAATATTGTGGTATATATAAAGCACTATAAATCTCATTTTAATTGAGCTAATTATTATGTTGTACAGCTTCTTTATATGACATAACATTTGTTTAGAGTTCCTTAATAGTGACATACGCAGTGGGAACATTCCTTTATTCTAGTAGAATTAATGCAACAACCTCATTGTCCTTGATAATTGGACGTAATAACTCTCCAATTGTACTAATCAATATATGTAAATCAATCTCGTGAATTTCTAAGTTTACCCAACAACATCTTCAACCAGTTTCATCAAGCCCATAGATGATAAATTACTCCTAACCCCCCGTATTTGTAACTTACCACCTTTGTAAATGCCATCCACCCATTGACCATCGTGTCTTATCACAAGTCACATAATTAGAACCCTACTGAAATTTTGCAAACAAAAAATTTGTCAGTCATTTTACATATTACATGTCATGTTTTAAAATTTATTAGTCATATTGTTACACGTCATGTTCAAAAATGTTACACGCTGTGTTCAAAAAATGTTACACGCCATGTTCAAAAATGTTTCACGCAAGTTCAAAAATTGTTGCACGCTATGTTCACAACATGTTACATGCCATGTTCAATAAAAATGTTTTACGCCATATGCTAACACATGTTATTTCAATATATTTTTTACATGCCATGTGCATTAAAGATGCATGATGCATGGCGTGTAATAACTTTGGGCAATGTTTCTAATCCATGTTCTAATTTACACAAAGAGTATCAGAAATTAATGTGTTGTAGCAATAAATCTAATAACATACCTTGATGTCATCTCTGCTCTAGGGTTTATTTATCAACGATGATATGGCCAAATGCCGATAAATAAACCACAACACAATGATGATAGTGCTCAATAGAGAGTTGATAGAGTTGATACAGTTCAAAAAGCTGAGAGAGTTGATGACAATTATGCTCAACAGAGAGTTGACAGAGTTGATACAGTTTAGAGAGCTGAGAGAGATAGTTGAGCGAGCTGAAATAGGTAAGCATTTATTTTTATTTTTTCTATGGTAAGAGGGAGATATAAGGAGATTAATTTGTCAAGATGTTTTTAAGGGCATTTTGGTTTGCTCATGCTTGGATTTGGACAAAAACAGATAACTTTATATGAGTGGCTATTTTTGAAATCACTTTATGAGGAGAGTTATTTCTTACAATTTTCTCTTTGAAATACTTATGGGCTGTTTTGCAATGAAAGAATTATGAACCTTTCATTTTTAAAAACTTTGGTCATTAAATGGTTTGGTAATGGGAAAAACATTGTAAAAGTATGGTGGAGTACTAAAATCTCACGTGTTCAATCTTAAAATCTCTCATCTACCCAAATTTAGGTGTTTTAGTATAAGGTGCTAATTGTCACGTAGATCAAAAGAATAGTTTGGCATCTTGAGACCATTGTGATCACTATTTTAAGGTTGCTTTACAGTGAGTTGAATCTCATGTTTTGCATTTTACTGGTTTAATCTACACATATATTTTTCTCCTACATTTTAGTTTAATTAAAGTAAAAGTGCACATTCTAATTGTTTTCCATTTTGCTTCATAGCTCAACAAGGAAGTAATGCTTTTGTTGGTTACTATTGCAACTACATGGGATGGGCAACAAGCCGATTTGACCATCAATTGTGATAAAAGAATTCTTCAGTAAGTTGTGACAGAATCATTATCGAAGATTGTATCAGTGTTAGAAAATTTTTTTTACAACTTTCATCACTGTTATTTATTTATGAAGAATTTTTTTGTCACAAATGAGACAGTTTCTGATACTGAAATTAGTTCACTCATGTTAGAGCTAATTACCAAGATTAATTGGTTCAGTCATGTTGTGACAGTATTATCCATAGATTGCGCTTGGCCAGAAGATACAGAGGCATTGGGGTGAATGAAGGAATTTTATCTTGATAATCTGAACTTTGATCAATATATATGTTATTTGAAAAGTTTTTTTTTTAATACTTTACTAGAGAAAGGCCAGCTCAACTTAAAATAAAGGAAAGTCCAAAATTGTAAAATGCATTCAAAAACAATGAAGGTTTAAGTTTTAAGAAACATAAATTTTAAAATTCTAAAATCAGCCTGAAACTCTTCCATCAATTTGAATTCAATCCAAATCAAGCCATCATGTGTTAAATAATTAAACTATATAAGTGTCAATCAATTAACCTAGTTAGGAATAACTTTTAACATACGTAGATGTAGATGTAGATGTAGATGTAGATAATTGTACTTCCAAGGACAATATCTGACTAGCAGAGTTAAATTGCCAAGGCCAATGTCTGCTCTGATACAGAAATTTTTCGAAAGCCTTGAGTTTGGACACATGAACCCATTTTAAAATCAGAGTTAAATCAGCTTCGGTCTCCACAAAGCAAGGAGGGATCAAGAAAAGGTTCATCACCAAAAAAAACAAAGACTAATCCTCTTTCATCTTAAGGCAGAAAGGATGAACTCTGATTTAGAATCTGTGCTGAGGAACCTAACCCAAGGGACAGTGTTAACAACTTGAAAGCAATTTAGCAGTTATAAGGTGCCTCAAGCCCGGCCCCTCCTTCCAGCCACGCAGCCCGCTTTGCCATTTTCTGGTTCGTTTAAAAGAACAATTAAGTCCTTCCAACATGAGAAAGGAGATAATAGGTATTCTGACATTCAGCAAAGGTTGCCTCAGGCCTCAGCAAGTCTCCCCAGGATACACCTTTGCACACAAAAAACAAAAGGAAAATCCAAAACCACCACCACCACACATAAAAACCAAAAAGAAAAAAGGCTTAATGTTCTCAACTTATCAAGAATCAATCAAACCAGTGACTAGCATTCAAAAGAAAAATACTGTACATATTGCCCTTATGCTGGTATGCTGCTTTATAGTATAATGGGGTGCATATTTCGACCAAGTTGCCACTTAGTTGAAAGGATTTTCCAGCAGCAAAAGCATCTGGGGCACAAAATATAATCAACTTGTTGCCCTGCCAACCGTGCTGTACAAACAAATGGATGCCAAGCACTTGTGGTTAGGAGAGCATGTGATCCAGTGCACTCCTGTTGTCATCAGCCGATTTCGCTATGGATAAAAACAATGTGTCATCTCTGGCATTTAAACTACTGTGATGATGTATTAACAGCTATAGCACTGGACAAAGGATATCTACTTACATCACTGCCTCCAGTGCTCCAATACTCGCTAGTTAGATCACAAGGAAAAAAAGGTTTAGTTTTCTCTTATTATTCAAGTTTGGTTAACATAATTAGGCCCTGCATTCCATTTTCATTCCTCTAAGTACTAGATTGATCCACGGCTCCTCATTGCTTGGGCATGTAAAGCCATCAACAAACAATAGCATAAGCACTTGCAGTCAACCACACTGGTATCATACAAGTCCATCACTCTACTAACAGAAAATGATTAACCGTATAAAACATTTCACATTGCTTCTGTAATACAGCCGCATTAAGGCCTTTTTCCTTTCCTCCTATCATGAAAGATATTGATACGTAAAACAAAATTTAAGAATTTTGGGTGCCAAAAGCAGATGATGATTTCTTTGATACTATAATATCAAATTGTTTTACAAGCTGCATTGAGCATCTGCCATATGTAATCTCCAGACTACAAACAGAACATACATGAATTCTATGTTCAAGATTCAGTATTAATTTCATTGCAAAACAAAGAGGAAAGAACTAGATTTCTTGAAGATTCAAGAGCCTACAGTTTATCAAGTTTATTGTATTATACAGCTATTTATAACAAAATACAAAAAGGCAACTGAAATGGAGATTCGCGTCATATATATCAGAAGCCTTTGAGAATTTAACACAAGAGATGTAGGAATTTTGTAAGCAAGGACTGCCATTTTGCATACATCTCCCAATTTTACTCTAAAGCTACACTGATTCATTATCTTGCTTGCTGAAAATCAGAGGGAAATCATCGAACTGTTCTGAGAAACCAAGTTCCTCAGCCATGCTTTTCAATGACTGGTAAACCTGGTACATGGACCATCTGTCCTTTGGCCGAGCAACCACACAATTACATGCAATTTTGAGGAACCGCAAAATTTCCTCATCATGCCCCTTTCCACAGAGAGAATTGTCGATGGCATCCTTGATTCTGACAGAGCTAGAGAGATGATTTACCCAATCCACCAAATTACCCTTGAATCCTTCTTCACCTGCGTTAATTTCTAAAGGTTTTTGCCTAGTTACCAATTCCAGAAGAACTACACCTAATCCATACACATCCCCTTTAAGTGTAGTGACCATAGTGCTTGAGTACTCTGGAGCTATATAACCAATTTCCCCTAAGTCTCCATTCTCAAAACTAGTCTCATTAACATCTGAGGAAGTCATAAGCCCTGCCAATCCAAAATCCATTATCCTAGCATCAAAGTCCTCGTCAACAAAAATCATATTGGAGCAGATGTTCTGCTGCAGGAATGGGGGCTGGCACCCATGGTGCAGCCAAGCAAGACCCCTAGTGGCACCCAAACCAATCCTAAATCTAGTTGGCCAATCTATGGGAGCAACACTCTCATGTAACAAGGAATACAGAGTCCCATTGGACATATGCTTATAAACCAGTAGCTTCTCCTCCTCCACAATACAAAATCCCAAAAGGGGTGCCAAATTTGGATGCCTAAGCTGGCCTAATCTATTCATCTCCCAACGAAACTGCTTGTCACCAAGCTTGCAACTTGTAAGCCTCTTGATTGCAAGGGCTGATCCATCAGGAAGCAGTGCCTTGTACGTGGTTCCCGTCCTAGTCGAAATTATGATGTTCTCTGCATTGAAATTGTTTGTTGCTGCCATCAAATCAGCCAATTTAACTTTCACAAGTGGCTTCTGAAACAATGAAACTTGAGTCAACTTATGAGCCCTCAACCTCTCAGCCCAACCACTGTCATCACGCCTTCCAAAATACCCTTTCTTCCTCCTCCTCATCGATCTCAAATGGTACCACCACCAAACCCCAAATCCCAACAACATTGAAGCCGCAGCACCAAAAACCCCAGCTGCAATTATAATTGCTAAGTTCTTATTACTCAAACCCCCACACTTTCCAAGAGGACCCCCACAAAGACCACTATTCCCAGCAAAATCAACCTTGTCATGATTCTCAAAAGATGAAGGAATCGCACCTGTCAGATCATTATTTGCTACAGAAAACTTCTTCAGCCTACCTAAAGCGGATAATTGATTTGGAATTGACCCTGAGAGCCTATTATTTGACAGTATCAAATAATTCAAATAAGCACACTTTGATAATTCAGGTGGGATGGAACCTGACAGATCATTGCTAGACAGATCAAGGGTTACTAAATAAGGTAGCCAAGTACATAATTGTGGAGGGATCGTACCAGAAAGTTTGTTAGCTGACAGATCCAAAGTCTGCAAACTCTGACAGTACTCTAAAGATTCAGGTAACTGTCCCCACAGATTCATGTCACGAAGTTGAAGACTTAGCAGGCGATTTTCACGTTCATTCCAACATGTAACTCCAACAAACTTGCATATAAAGCCAACTGAATTGTTGTTGAAAGTCCACGAGCTTAACTTACCATCTGGGTCTTTTAGAGAATTCTTGACACCTTCCAGGCACCTCATATCATCTTCAGTTACAACTGACAAAACAAATCCAGGCAAAACTATCCATGCCAAAACAAAGCTGAACAAGATCTTTAACCTGCTGGAAAACGATCCCTTCATAGCTTATGATCAAAAATTAAAAAAAAATAAAAAAAGAAGAAGACCCAGAGCTTTATTTGTGACTTAGATCACAAAAATAACAATTGAGTTCATGAGATAATTTTTTTCCTCTTCCTCTTTTGTTGGTGCTCTACAACGACTTGGGAGCGAGCAAATTTGCGCGTAAAATGCGTTGAATGGTCAAAAGAGGTAGAGCCTGTGAAGGGTCATTGACTTGGAGGCGTCTCTGGGAAATTACCAAACAACTACTTAACAGTAGACAGTATGATTGATTTGATTATTTTCTCTAATACTCATATTTGTATTAGTATTTCCATTTTCTTTCTTCTCTCGTGAGTGCTTTTTGTCAAAGAATTTTTTGTTTTCCTTATTGTGGAAGTGATTGTGCTTGTTTGACTAGAAGATTGTTTATTTAAAAGGGTTAATTAACAATTTGTTGACCAAGAAACTACAGTCATGATCCACTAAAGATGATCTTAGTTGAATACTGCACCCAAATAATAATATTCCTTCCTTGATCCTTTTAATTTGATTCAAGATAATATATTTTTATGTCAAGGATTTAATCCTACTCAACTTTTTTTTTTCCTTTTTAATTTAGGAAAATCAACCTTAAATTTCATCTGAGGAATTTAATTCAATAGATTGAGAGACAGCAATACTCCATAGAGATTCTTATTAGTAACAAATATTTTGGATAAACAGTTGGAATAGTTGCAAGTATTTATCCCAAGGAATTGTTGTTTGCACACAACCAATCAAATTATTGTGATTTGGTTTGCTGCCATTCGTCAGACTCTAGTTATTATCTTTTAAGAAATGGAAACGGAAGGTATTGGTTCTTTTATTGTGACCAATGGGCCGCTGTCCACCAGCTGGTGGAATAGACTCTTTTGCCACAGTCCCAGAAAAGAAAATTCCTCCCCTTTTCCCAAAAGTTGAATATCTTAAATGGAATCACAGAATTCAACTACATATACCAATTGGGGTTGGTTTTATTTTATTATTATAATAATTTAAAATGAAAATGATGGATATTAGTAAATCTAACCTAATTTATTTATTTTTAATGTAATGCGTTTCACCTTTAGTGATTGACTACACAATGGATGGATTTGCAACATCCCAACATTCGTTCCACACTACAATTTGGCATGTCAATGAAACTTTAAAGTCCAAAAAAAAAAAAATTACTGTAAAAGCTTTAAAGTCCAACAGACAATAGTCTTTGGGTTTAAATTCACGTTTTTAAATGATTAAAAACATTGATATATAGACCATTTCCATAAATTTGAGTTATAATCTCATCATATTATATACGTAATTAATCTGATCTTAAAATTTTAAATTCATTTATTATTTGAATCGAGACATATCCTTGTAACCCATCTGTCAACATTTTAAACTTTAAATCGATATATTTAAATTCCATTAATATCAATTAAACAGAATTTTACTGCATCTTAATTATGTATTGTTGGGCAAAAGTTGATGCTAATGGAAAGACCTAAGGTTGGTGTGGTCAAAGACCTTTTAACCTGTTTTTTCTATCCACCTACTGGTATTTTAATTAATTGATAACATCAATCTCCTAGGAAGATTATCCAGATCATCATTTGTCTCCTGTTACAAAATGTATTTATCTGCTAAACAAATAATTAACCTACCAATTGACACAAAACTGCTCCCTGTAAGCCTTTGTTTTCAATTTTTTTTAGTATTAAATTATGTGATAGGGATCGAACACTATTAAATTTCGAAAAAAGGGAAACTGAAAAAGAAATATCTTAATTGTCAAGAATAAATTAACAAGCATTTTCTATTGTCTATAATTACCGTTATAAATTTCTTAAATATATATTCTTTATCCGTCTGTCCATGCTCAAAATAATTGTTAATTTCATTTACACCTTTGATGATTTTAAAATTTTTCCCATGATACCTTGTGGTTTCTTTTTTCTTAATTAGCATCTCTTGCATATCTTTTGGTTTTTTCTCACGGGCGTTGCAAGTATCTTCTAGAAGGGTTATATTATTAATTTTGTTTAGTATAATTATTATTCAAAATTAATTTATTTGCTCATATTTAAATGTATTTATGTAATTTAATAAGATAAATTAATAATTGAACTCTTTTTGAGAATAGAAGTTATCTGGTGTTAATTGAGTAAAATGATATCCATAAGATCCTAATTGAAAAAAGAAATGATAAGATATCATGTAAAAATAAATAAATTAACTTGATGGATTGAAAATAACTATCAAGTTTTACATTTTTAAACATCATATTTGAGAATAGAATTTTCAGATATTTTTAGGTTATGTTATACCAAGTGTCTGTATATCTAATCTTGGACCGCAAATATGTAGCTAAACTGTTAGAGTAACCCATTTTAGAAATTCCAATGGAGATAATGAATTTAAATAAAAGTAATCAAACTCAAGTCAGTTTTGTATTGTAAATATTCTCCATTGCTCCTTCAGACTATTTGGTGCATGTTTCTTGAATTGGAGGAAATTATTATTCTCATGGCAATGCAATCAAATTTTGATGGTGAACAAAAAATAGAAATAAATAAAATTTAATGGAATTAACTATTTAAACATGCCCATTGAAATCCAAATTCATCAAAATACCAACAACTATGTTTGAATTTTTTAGAAAAGCATGAATTAATCTATATTTAATTGAATTTTAATTGATATAATTGAATATGAACTCGAACATTTTTTACATTAATGGTATGTGGATTATTATTTATTCAAAGAGTTTAATTCAAAATTTTTTTTCTCGTCAAAGTACATCTATTTCTTTTAAAAAATTCATAATTAATTGTCAAAAGATGAAACGAGAAAATTGGCAATGACTAATTCAAATGGAGTTGGATTATTAGGTCGGCTCGACACAGGATGGACCCGGCCCAAACCCATGGACACTTTAATTGCAAACTTTGATAAATACTGGTATCCTGCAGCCGCCAAAAATGATGAAAATCTTACCGCCAAAACTTAAAGATCATCTTCTTTTCGAAATCTTAACCCTCCATCTGGCAGAGTGGGCCCTCCGCACTCACCCAAAAGCCAAAACCAAATTTCAAAATTTAAGAAACCGATTAAATCATTGCACGACAGCGCGAAGATTTAGATTCCCCAGTGGAACGTCACCGTTTCCTGCGTTTCCGCAGAGATGTCGTTTTAAAAAAATCAAAAGTGGGGCCCAAGTGTGAAACGCCAAACTGACTGTTACTCGTTGGCAGAGTTGTTTTTCCTTTACGTAATTGAATTTCAAAGTCCAGGGTAATCACGTCCTTTCCATTCCCTTTCAGTTAACCTCCTCTTTTAGCTACTCTCTCTACTACTAAAAGACCGCCCATTCCCACATGGTGTGATCTTTGAGAAGTGAGAATATCCTCAACTCCCAAATCACCATGGAAGATTCGGATGTACGTTACGAAACTACCTTTGCATTGCATTCCTTTTCTTCATTATTATTTTAAGTGTTTGATTTTTGGAAATTTGATTTTTCTTTTGGTTTGTTTTGGTGTAGAAAACGGTGGCGTTGAAGGTGGCGTACGCGGAGATGATACTGAACACGGCGAAGGAAGCAGCGGCGAGAGTGATGGTGTCGGAGAAAAGAGCGGCGTTGTTTCAGCACGAACTGAATTGTTCCAAGGAGGAGTCGCTTCGTTTGCTTCTTCGCTTGAAACAGATGATCGACGCCAAGGTCCATTCCGTTTTTTTCCTTTTGAATTCTCTCTCTCTCTCTCTCTTAAATTACTAAAGCATAGTAAAACATCATTTTAAGATCTGATTTTTAGATTTAATATAATTGTTATTTGATTTCTTGTTTGGATTTATGGATTTTTTTTTAAAAAATAAATTGTCTAGATTGTGAATTTTTTGTTTGAAAAAAGAAGGAAACTAATTTGAAAATGCTGGTAAATGACTATTTGTATGTGACCGAAATGAAACCGATTGGGGTGAGCCTTGTAGTCGTAGAGTATTTTGGCAAATGTGGTGAATTTTAGAGATCAAGTTTTTGAATATTTATTTTCTATTGACTCTCAGTAAAATAGTAAAATTTAAATTTCTGTTTTGTTATTTATGAAGCAATGTTTTAGTTTTCTCTATTAATTAGCTGAATTTGATTTTTCTGACCGAAATCTGAATTGCCTGTTCAATTTTTGTAATAATGTACTTCACTGATTGGATGGACTTGTTGAATTCACTATCTGATTTTTTATTGATTGGATGCTTACTTCATGAGCCTTTGGCTCCTCAATTAGTTACAGATTTTTGAGGATTTATCAGAATAAGGTTAAGCTTCATCTGGTTTCAAGAGGTGGTCAATAATGGATAAAGTCATACTGTTAAAAGTCAAATTGATTGAAAACTGATGCAATGCTTATCTTTTGTTATCGCAGAAGCTAGAGTTCTTGTTTCTATTGGTAGTGCACCCTAGTTCTTGTTTCTATTGGTAGTACACCCTAGTTCTTGTTTCTATTGATAGTACACCCTAATTTAAAGTGGGCAAAAAATAGAGCACCTCATAAATGCTTGCTTCTTTACAGACAACTGAAGCCGAGATGACATCCTCCAATCAGAAGCGAAAGATTGATGAGCTTGAAGCACAGCTCCATGAAGCAGAGGATATCATAATAGACCTTAGAGTGGAATTAAATTGTCTAAGGCAGAAGCTGGAGAGAGCAAAGAACACTCAAGTGCAGCCTTTAAGTGGACAAATTATTAGTGAGGATGCATCTTCTTTAAAAAATCCAACACCTGAGCCCAATGTTCAATCTCCTTTAAGTTCTGGATATGTGACTGTCACGGATTCTGACATGAGGAACAAAATATTGAATCAAGCATATCCTGATGATAGATGCTGCAATGAAGCAAGCCAAAGAGATCAATCCAATGTTTCTCATGTTGAGAATTATTATCCTGATAACTCTGACTCGGCCACCATGCTTATGACAAGCAAGAAGCCAGAGCTAAGCAGAAATGGTTGTACACAGAGAATATGTGCTCTCGAAAGAAACTTGCTGGATGGTAAATTTACTCCTGGAGGTCTGGATGGTCAGCATTCGCTCTGGAGGAAAGAGTTTATCATGGAATCAAGTGCTGGAGATAAAAGAGAGTGTTTGAAATCCTTTATTAAAACAAAGAACATGAGGACAATGGGCTTTTCTGGAGAAGAAAGAAAGAACACTGTCAAAGTTCGCACATTAAGGAGGAGGAGAAAGACTCTATTTCGTAGAATCAAAGCACTATCACGCCGATTCCGTCCTGGGCAGCACATGAAACCTTGTCAATCATCTTCTGTTCGTTCCTATTGCAGAACATATACAATTGATGGAGATTTTAAACCTTATGAAGGTTCTCGCACTGTATCTTCTATCAGGGTTGATAATACAGATAGATCAGAAAATGCTAGGAAATTAGAAGAAGAGTTGAAGCATAAAAGCAGCTATTGTGAAGATATTGTGGCCACCTATAATGGAAAAGTGAAAAGTAGCAATGATGTTGCTACTTCATTCCAGTCTCTTCCTGTGCATCTTACTGAGCCATGTAAGTCGTCAACAGTTCTTAGCTGCACTCAGACTTTGAGTTCAGTCTGCTGTAATCTGAAATCAAATGCAGATCGATTGAAAACAGCTGAAACTGAGACCAAGATAAAGCCATTGGCCCGTCTGGATCCTGGGTTAACACTTATTAAATGTAATTCGGATCCCTTATCAGGATCAAAAAATTTTACTGTAAGTGTCAGGGTACTTAATAAATCTAGATTTTTCCAGAGAGCTGCAGACATTGACATCAAATTGGGAGATGAGTCTGTGTTGGTCAGGCAAGAAGGCAACTCTGGGGAGATTTCAACTCTTTCACCTTCAGAAATGAGCACCAATATGGTCAATGTTTCCTTCAAGCATTCTGACTTGAAAGATGCCAAAGCATCAAATGTAACTTATGAATCTTCAACTAAGGAGGAGAACATCAACGATAGACTTCTTAAATACACCTTCCAGAGGAAGCGCAAGAAGGAATCCCTCAGTGACCTGGATGAAAAGACTTCTGTTGAGAGCTGTTTGAAGAGGAGGGCTGAGGAGAAAGAAAATAGTTTACAAGAAACTGCTAAGTCTAACTTGCTTAATGAATCTTCTAGAGGCAATCATCGACTGGCTCAGGTTCCTCATCAGGTTGGTTTCCCTTTTCTCGATGTGACTAATTTTATTCTGTGTCTGCTAAATCAAGATATCTTACTATGATTTCACATCTGTGTGAATGGCTTCAAGACTTGTCAAGGATTTTCAAATGCATTGATAAGTGTAAGACTGAGTGCCAGGTTTTGGGATTGATGATTTCTTTAATAATCTGATTGTGTACCATTGTTGAATGTGAGAATACACAAAGGAAGAGGCAATTATTTTTGTGACTTGAGCTTGTAGAACCAATGAGATCCACCTTGTAACATGTCTATTGTCATTGTAGTGGTTCTATGATGTTTTGGTTTGCACTTTGCACTGTTGAAGTTGCAATCTGATGAGTGTGGTTGCCTTGTTTTGTGCAGCTTATTTCTCTGTCCAGCAAACCATGGTGTTAATGGAGGTGAATTTTGCATTAATTAACCTAAAGGAATGCTTGAAAGTTGAAATGAGGGCCATGGTTGGTTTGGTGGGTGATTCTTGAGGAATGCTTTTCCAATGGAAAGGAGTAAATTGCTACGTTTTATTGAAATAGAGAGATCGATTTAGTAATCTTCACCATTTATACAACTCTTTCTTATCATTGTTACATTTTTATTATATATATACATTGCTGTCGAACCTAACTTCTCTGGCATCCCAGTCCATTCTTTATCTGAAAAATATTTCAATAGAGTTTGTAACCGGCCAAAGGCTCTAATTTGGAAGTTGCGGAACAGTGGCCTGTTCCTTCCCATGCATACTCGATTTGAGCAATTGTTTTCCGGAGATCAGCCAAGACTGGAGCTCATGGTAAGCATACTAAAGGGATTTCTCTATGTTTATATGTCGCATTTAAATTTGAAGTGATGTGAATTTCAACAAATTTCTCTCATTGCCTAGGGAGTAGCTGCCATACCTTTCAACTGCTCATACATCTTTAACCCAGCACTCAGCCACTACACGTCAAGGCTGTCGTACATCGTTTGCATTCATTCTCAGCTACCCGCGCAACTTAGGCCTGGCACTCAACTAAGGCTTGGTACCAATTTTTGAGCCCAAGCACAGCACAGGATACCAAAAGAGCTCATCCAAAGTATTTAATATTCTAATATAATCATTTTTTCTGTTTTGAAGTGTTTAATATTTAATTAGATAATTTTCAATTATTATTATTTAGTAATATATTTGATTAATTTATTAATTAAATTATTTTTTAAAAAAATATACATGAATATATTTATATATATAAATAATATTCACTTACTAATGAACAGTATCCAAAATGAAATCATTGTTTTTAAAAACAATTAAACTAAGAACATTCTTACTCCTAACAATTTGGAGAATTTTATTTTCGTTTTTTTTTTAAAACAGATCTTAGTAGTGTTTTGAAACTTTTATTATCATGACGTTAACGCATGATGAAAGAACTTGTGTTTTGTTGAATAAATTTTTTCTTTTTCTTGGAAAAAGGAGCGGCCTTTATCTTTAACAAGCTAAGCCTAGTACCAAATACACGAAACCATCATAATGTAACCACCTTTGAGTGACTGCCGAGAGCTGAACCCTCCATCTTGAATCGGCGTATTTTTTTTTTATTCCGTTTACGAGCCACAGCAAATCCTAAACTCAAGAGTGGGAACAAAATTTAAGGTTTAAATGCAAAAAATAATGGTTTTAAATATCGTTTTACTGTATTCTTAGTGAAAAATTAATTAAAACTTTAAGATTGTTATTTTCGTGGGAACAGTAGTAAAACATGCCATATATATAAAAAACTCAAGACTTTATTTAAGAAAATATAACACCATAAATAATTTGTGGAATTTACAAAATTAAAAAATTTTAATTTTTAGATTTTATGGAATGTTAATTATGATCTGCTAAAGCTTTTTGGAGGCCGTGGACCGTTAGCAAAACCGCGAATCAAGAAGATCATTCTGGCATGCCAGTGCTTAACATGTTTTGTTTTGAAAGTTCAAAAGTATATCGATATCAGATTCACCTCTGGGTTCAGTACAAAGATGATTTTGTTCTCTAGCACTTGTCGCTGGTATAATAACATTCCAAAATCTTCTCTAGAAAACAGCCTTTCAATCTCTGTACACAGGATACCACTCCCTGCTGCCACCGGGTTATCCCGAACCTGTAACATCAACCTTAACAAAAACCAGGCAAGAAAATACAGTGTAACACCAGATCCTGCCCAGTAACAGCTTACAAAAATAACCCAGGGCCATCTGACTCCTTTCACAACCTGCACAAAGTTCCCCACAAGACAATCATACACGGCTGATGCCATTTCCAGGCGAAACTACACTTCAGCCTTCAAAAAATAAACTAAAATCCAAAACCGAAAACAAAAAATAAAGCATAGTTTAGAAAAAGAAAAAGCACCCAGAGATCAATCCCCTTGGTCTTGAAGTAATTATTTAATATTTGTTTAAAAATTGTTCAGAAATGGGACAAGTGGGGTCGTTTTACTATGATGTGGTCTTCAAAGGCAAGCGCGTGCTGAGGGAATTCACGTTTCCAATCTATTGTTAGTGTCACAAACCGGCAAAGCTCTGCTCCCATTTCTGCTTTTTCAGTCTCTTTGTCTTTGGAAAAAAGGCATGCGGGAGAGTAACAGGTTATTGGATTATTTCGCTTTTGTAAATTTTGACAATACATTTACCATCACCTATGATTGCTGTAATCTGTCCTGCACACAGCATTTCATCAATTCACTCAACCCCATCCTGCTTGCCATTGCTCTCCTTGTTTGTGGACACTTAATCATGCTTTTTGCCACTGTTATGTGTAGGTAAGTTGAACAAATGGATTTTAGGCCCACTGCCCCCAACATATGACATACACAAACTTACATGACTAAATCCTAAGTTGGGGAGGAATCATAATTAGGTTACTGCAAGTTTGTTTACATCATGTTTTCTTGTCTCCCTTCTCTTTCCTTCACAGCCTTTCCCTTGTTTTGCCTCTGCTACTCTGAGCTGGTGGAGCCAGGGGCACAGGGATTCCCACTAGTGGCGTTCACTCAAATTCCCCACCTTTCAGGGTGATTTATAGGTTTTACTTTTACTTTCCCATTTTTACACTCATGGTGTATATAACCAACTCCATTTGGTCACCTTTTAACAAGTAAAAACACTAGGATATACATTTCAAGCGAGACACATGGAGGGGAAGAAAGAGGAGGAGTACTGCCAAAGGGGAAACGCAATTGAGAGTGTGAATACAGCTCTGTTTACAGCCGGATTACTACTCTTAATGGTCTGCTTCAAACGTGATTTGCCCTTGTTTCTTGTTGAACAATGGCGAGCTTGGGTGTTTCTTGTGTTAAACCTTGTGCTTTTAGCTATTTTTTTCACTTCCGTGAACCCGATCACCTCAACCCAAAACCCAGAGAGCAAGAACAATGACGAAGAAACGAAGAAGCAAAGCAGGCATTGCAAGTTGTCCAATGAAGTTGAAGCATGCAAACAGGACCCCGTCGAGTCAAACAAAAGAAGCAACGAAGCTGAGGGTAAACTAGAGAAAGAGGCGGCGGTTGAACAAAACAATGAGCTTCCCAAGCTGTCAAAGGAGGAGCTGAATGAGAGAGTGGAAGCTTTCATTGCCATGTTCAGGCAGCATTTGGCTGCGGATGCAAGGAAAGGAAGAGACAAGTTACAGAGAAAAGGAGGCGATGTGAAGCACATGAAGCTTTCATCCGGTGGAGTAAATTGTTTTGTTTTTAAAGTGCAGGGGTAATTATTTCCAATTCAGAGCTTGAATTGTTATTTGATTCACAATTTTTTTTTTTTTTGGTAGTGAATGAACAATTTTCTTCCATTTTTTAAGTCACATTACAAAATCAAGGCCCTTCTCTCTGTTTTCGCCATTCATTTTGAAATTAATCCAACATACATACAACAAATCCTTCACAAATTTAATTCGTATTTTCTTTCCTTGGTAAAGCATACGCGAAAAGAGCCCAATCATCTATGTGGTGTTAATTGAGAAAAAATTATTTATTGAGTTTTAGTTAGACAAAAAATAAATCACACAATAACATGTGAGAAAAGTTGAAATTATAAAAAGTGCTTCGAGAATTCATCTAAAAATGTAGCAATTGTGAAGCAAAATCTGAGTGCGTCGTGCTCAAATCTCAAATCCAGACTTGATAATTGTAGACATGATTCATTAATATAATAAAAAGTTAAGCTTTCGATTTCGTGTAATTTTGTTCATGTCTATGGTAGTGTTAATCCATTTATGACGAGAAAATATTCGTTTTTAAACAACTTGACACCCCTAATCTGTGTACATTATTCAACGTATTTTATTTAATCCGTTTAAACTCGTTTATTGAATTATTAATATTTAATATACATAAAATAAGTTAATCATTTTTAAATGAGTAAAATCTTGATGTGTCTAAATAAATCAGTTGTACTTAAACATGTTAATTGTATAATCTTGTATAATTTGTATAATAAACATGTTGTATTAATGTTAATGTCAATTTTAACACGATGCATTATATTCATATTAATTAATTTATAATTTAAAATTTAAATTACACCATAAGAACCTGTTACCGTAAAATGAATTACCAGCTCTACTCAAATCTTCTGATAGTAATGTGAAATTTTGGAATTTCAAGAGTTTGACAACAAAAGCCCGAGCCTAAACCTTTTTACCCTTAACTGGCCCAACCTAAAGAAAAGAAAGTATAATTTTGGACTTTTCAAGTTCATTAATTGAAATTAATAAACATTTATTTATAACTTAATTAAACTAGAATTGGTTCGCCTAATAATTCAATAGGTTTTGAGCATGAGATACATTGGACCATATTTTTCTATTTGACATAAATCACTTTTTATTTTTTTAATTTTTTAAATCACTTTTTAGTTTTAATATAATTAGTTTTAATTTACATTGGATCTAAACTATATAAAAAAATCAATTAATTTTTTTTACTTTTATTATGTTCAATTAGCCTCATAAATTTTTTTGAATAAAATACGTCACTCTCACTATCTTTCATTAATTAACATTACAACTATCAATGTAATGTCATGTCATCTATCACGTCACATGTTAATGCGTCATTTTAATGATGAAATTGTACGTGACAGATGACATGGCATTGAATGTTGTTAACTAGAAATTGATTTTTTTTTCCTTTTTATCTACTCATATGTTTAAAAATAATTAGGTTAGGGATTTGAAACAAAAAAAAATGAATAAAATTAACCCAAACAAATTACTGGGTTCCTAATACTAAAAACCTAATTATAATTTTGTCTAATCTATTCCAAAACAACATTTAAGGTTTATGACTATCAAATTTCCCAAACCCGATAAGTATGTTTGGTTCATAGAATAGAATATGTATTCTATAAGAATAAAATAAGACAAAAATAGAATGAAAATGTTATTATATAGTTTAGTTGATGGAATGGAACAAGGTAGGAATTGCTGTTATGACTTATTGTAATATTTGGCTAGTAAAAATAATTTTGAAATAACAAAGAAATAGGTGATAAAAAGATAAAAATTTCATTATTATAATATATGATTATTTATTTTTATTTTATTTTTAAATATTAATAATTCATAATTTATTTAAAATATTAATAATAATTATTTAAATATTAATATTTTATTTATAATTTAATCATTAATGTTTTAAAATATTAATATTTTATTTATAATTTAATCATTAATGTTTTAAAATATTAATATTTTATTTATAATTTATTTTTTATAATTAAAATGTTAATAATTTTTATTTTTAAATTTAAAATATAAATTTTTATAATATATAATTAGAAACTTAAACTATTTATTATAATAAAATTTATTTTCATAAAAAACAAAAAATACTCTTTATATAATTTAGTAAAATTTATACCAAAAGACAAACTTAAGTATGTTGTGAAATATAACTTAAAAGAACAAGTATGAGAGAAAAGTATTAATAAAGTAAGAAGATTTTATTTGATAGTGTGTATTTACAAATGAAGTAAATAGCTTATTTAGAAGCTAATAACCTCTTATCTAGATAGAATTTACAAGATAAAGATAATGATAAAGAAATTGATTTGGACGAATTAAATGTTAATTTTAATCTAATCTAATATGCATCTAAATTTAAATTTTATATAATAAAAAATAAGAGTTCAAATTAGATTACACTTCTATGCCTAGTTTTTTGAGCTATTTGCCTTGACTTGGTTGGTAAGTCTAGTCTAAACTCTTAGACCATGACATAATGGACATTTACATTTATATTCATAATACTCCCGCGTGTATGTCTATTGTATTAAGAATATGCTTCATCAAAACCTTACTAAAAAAAAAATCTCATGGGAAAAAATTTGAGTAAAAGAAAAAGAGTACATAATTATTTTCAAAAATACGATTTTGAAATATTGCTTCATTAAAAACCTTACCAAGAAAACCATAGTGGAAAAAACCTTGATGAAGGAAAAGAATACAATGCACATTTTACTCTCCCTAATGATTGCATTATTTAAGATTTTTAAAATAACACATTTCAATCTTATATACCAACTTTTCAAATATTGCAGTAAGAAGGGTTTTGGTAAATGAATTTGTTAGATTGAACTTAAATGAGTTTGTTAAACACTAATTTCATATGTTTTATTCTATCACCTTTAATGTATCATTACTTTAAATAGGCTATGCAAACAATATTATCCTTATATAACATTATTGAAATTTCTTTTTTGGTTGACAAGCCATACATTTTCTGAATATGTTGAGTTATATATCTTAATCAAACACATTTATGACTTGCCTCATAAACAACCAAAATTTTGACATGGTAAGAGGAAGTAGAAATTATAGTTTATTTTATAAAACACTATGAATAGTCATAGCTTCATATGTGAATAAGTAACTTGTTTGGGATTGAGCTTTGTGTGAATCAAATAAATATTATGTATTCACATAACTAATTAAAACTAATTTGAATACATTTCAGTAATATAAACTCGTATCTATTTTTCATTTGAGATGTCGAAGTATATGTTTAACTCCATTCTACTGTCTTTGAGTTGGAGAAGAATTATATTTTACTAATAGATTTACAGTAAATAATATATCATGTCTTGTATTACTAGCAAGATACATTAGTGCTCAATAGCATTAAGATATGGTACTTCAAAACCAAGAAGTTCTTATCTTCTTCACAAGGTTGGAAAATGTCTTTTTTCGATCTAGTGACTTTACTACCACTGGGGAACTCAATAAACATGTTTTGATCATACAGAATCATTTTAGCACTTTTGCTATTTAATTTGATTAATGGACATAAGTTTCATTTGTCAAGTATTCAACTTGAAGACCCAAACAAAATTTTGTTTTTCTAAGGTTTTTCATTTCAAATTCTTTTTTTGAGTAATCCATAGCCTTTGATAATTTTTCAAGAATTCCAACAATAGTCAATTTATCAACATAAATAATAATTATGACAAATAAAAAATCAAATCTTTTTATAAAACACATGGGCATATGGGATCATTTTTATAACCTTGTTTTAATAAATATTTATTAAGGCGATTATACCACATACGCCTGAATTGCTTAATCCATATACAAATTTATTTAATTTGATCGAATATATTTCTTGAGAATTGTGTACTTTAGGCAACTTAAATCCTTTACGGATTTTTATATAAATATTGACATTAAGTGAGTCATATAAATAGACTGTAGCTATATTTAATAGATGTATTTCAATTTTATTATGTATTATCAAATTAATTAAATATGAAAATGTAATTACATCTACTACAAGAGAATATGTCTCTTCATAATTAATACTAAGTTTTTGGGTAAAACCTTTTGTGACAACTCATGCTTTATATCTCGTAATCTCATTTTTTTTTTCATTTCATTTTTGCACAAATATCTATTTATATTCTATTAGTTTTACACCATTTGGTGTATTGACTACAAGTTCAAAAATTTCATGTTTTGTAAATAAATTCAATTCTCCTTTGATTGCATATTTTTACATTGACTAATCATTTATATGTTTGCATTTTTCAGTAGATGTAGGTTTAAGATCCTTATTTTCGTTCATAATATTGAGCGTTACATTATATGCAAAAATATCATTATCGTTTATTTCATTCTATTGTCATATTTTCTTATTATGACATTATTTATTGAAATATTTTCATTTTCAATGATTTCAGGTACCTGAATTTCATTTGGAATTTTATCAATTATGTCAAGGGTCTCTTTTGAAATTTTTATTTCCTCTTTTTGACCATTTTGTGTATTTGCTCATTTTCATTTTTTGAGGATTTTATTTTTGGAATCGATTGGTTTCTCACGTTTTTTGCGTGCTTTGTCCTATAGGGACATCAATTCTAATAGGAGTTTTTGTAGTTAGTATATGAGATTTAGTTATTCTCTTTAAGTTAATAAATACAACTAACAATTAATTTGCTATATTTACAAATGAATTATCTTTTGAACTTCAAGTTCACATTGATTTATTTGAAGATCAAAACTAGATAATGATAATGTATTTCAAAAAAAAATTTTTCCAGCTACTTATTTTTCCCCCTTAATGTTGGAAAAACTATTTTATCAAAATGACAAATGGCAAATTTTGTTGTGAGTAAGTTTTCTATTAATGGTTCTAGATATTTAATTATAGATGGAGATTCATATCCAACATAATTTCCTAATCTTATTTGAGGATCCATCTTTGTGTGTTGTGGTGGAGCAATTAAGGCATATACCATAAATCAATTAAGGATACATCAAAAAAATTCTTAGATAGAAAATATTTGGTTCTTGACCATAAATCAATTATATAGGGGAGAA